GGAGGAGAAGACGTAGGAGGAGGGCGAGGAAGATAAGATGTAGGAGGAGGAAGAGAAGATGGGGAGGAGGAGGAGGAAGAGGGAGGAAGAGGAAGAGAAGATGTAGGAGGAGAGAGAGGAAAAGAAGATGTAGGAGGAGGGAGAGGAAGAGAAGATGTAGGAGGAGGAGAACGAGTAGTGTACACAGGTGGGGATAACAGAGGAAGGGGGTGATAGCAGGTGGGAGAAACAGCAGCTGCACAGAAACACACCAGACATAACATCAGTAGGAGGAGCACTGAAAAAAAAACACAGGGAGCACAGAAACAGCAGCAGCAGTAGTAGTAGGAGGAGAATTAACAGGTTGACAGAAATAGTAGTAAAGATATGCGTGGCAACAGGAGGCAGGCAACAGGATAAGGCAGGAGGCTACAGGAGGAGATACGCAGCAGAAGGCAGGAGTCAACTGGAGGAGGCAGGCAGCAGAAGGCAGGAGTCAACTGGAGGAGACGAGAAACAGAAACAGGCAGCAGGGGGAGGCAGTGGAAGAGGGGAAAAAGGAGGAAGCAGCATAAGAAGAAAGCAGCAGGAGATGGGAACAGGCAGCAGAAGGCATGCAGTAGGGTTACCCACCTGCCGGAGTGAGGTGAGGAGCTGGCTTGGCTTGTTGGTTCATGCAGGTGAACTGTGCCCGTGGAAGCTCGCTGATTACAGGTGCGCGCCGTGGGTGTTCCTAGTCTTTTTTTGTGGCCGTGTGTCGGGTTCTGTAATCCATGAGTAATTACGACCTGTGGGAGGACTTGATTTCACCTTAACGATATATTGGTTCCTCAGCATTACCGTAATTTTGGAATATTTGTAAATGCATAATACAAAAAAAATAAGAACGGGGGGAAAGGTTGAAGGGGAGAGGAGTCAGTGGGACTGCGTGCGGTCTTGAGGTGACTCCACCCCGCGACGTGATGGAGAGTCAAGCCACCCATCCATCGGCCCTGACCCGACATCTGTGGGCGGGGGCGGGAGGCGGCCTCATGGACCTACCACCAGAATTCCTGCGCCGGAGGAGGAATATAGACCTGTGGAGGAAGGAGAGGGGACCGTGGCGCAACATAGTCCGGGGTATATATGGCTGATTTGTGGCAGCTAATATGGAGAAGGTGATGCGTAACGTAATATTTTGGTGCCATTTTATCTAGTAGAGAGCAGCTCGCCACCCAAGGAGACGCAGATAACAGCGGTCACTCTCACAACTGAGCGACAGTACCCCCCCTCTTGATCAACCATGTAACTAGACAAGATTGCTACGAAGAAATACCATTATGACACATCATTTTGAAACCCCGGCCCGCACGTAGACCACCATGCTCTCCTCGCTGCCCACGGGCCGTCTCCCTCACTGCTCGCTACCCTTAACCTTCGCTCAGATTGACTTTTTTATCCCTGGGTACGTGTATGTACCGAGAGCGAACCATTCTGGTCAGGCGTAGATGGGCGGAGGAGGGCCCTCTGCCTGCCGTGTTGGGCTGTGGCCCCCGTGAAATTTAACAAGTGGACCTCCCTGCGAGTGACGTAGCCCGCACCACCCCAAGTTACGGCCCTGCCAGCAAGCGGGCGGTCGAGTGGCAGGGTGGTCGGATTTTCGAACGGAAGGGCTCTTGCTGAAGCTGCCGACAGGAGCTTCAACTAAAAATTATTCGCTTCAAAATCATTTTAGCATGAGAGAACAAAGACGGGAGCGAGGCTGAGAGCCTTTTGTGTTGAGGCTCCAACTACCTCCAGGACCCCGACCTCTGCCGGACCTGTTGCCAAGGACCAAACTCACAGTAACTTAGGTCAAGCGAGAGTGGCCGGGTCGGTCATGGTCTTATGGTACACCTGAGTACACTTACAGAGGCTCACTGTACACAGTATACACCTTCCTGTACACACCACACTGTATACCTGACTACACCCATAGCGCCACACACCATACACCCAATCCGGAACCACACTCTGTGTTAGCCTAAATGAGGCCCGGAGTCATTGGGATTACAGCATTAACTAGAGATAACGGAGCTCCTGATAGGGAGGTGTAGGGCTCACTAGCCCAGTAAACTAAAGGCTCGGTAGTATGTGTGTGTTTGTGTGTTTGTACCAGTGCCAGGTGGGTGACAGTGACCACCTATGAGAGGGCCCCGCGCCACCGGCCCGCCGCGCGACGCCCCGAGTTTTTACCTGGTGTGGTAATTACCAGGATGTGAGGCTCCCCCGCGTCTGATGGAGATAACCATCTGCCAATATCTAATAACACCACATCTGATCTGGAGTTTGTAAGCTGTCTGTTAATTACCTGGGTTTAAATATATCACATACCAGGTACCTAAATACGGCCGGTGGCTGATCGAGGTGATAACTCGGTACTGAGACCAACTGTTTAATGTCTCTGTCTGTCTTGATATAAAAGTCTATTGTATATATAAACTTACTTAAGCAAGAATATACCTAGCCAATAAAGACATAAACAAGAACTTACTTAAACAAT